CATCATCTACCGCCGTACCCGATGACACCAATTTCCAGAAAAACGAACTAATGAAGAAACTAACACGTGAATGTAAAGAAGCATATCAACAGCTTGCTTGATTAGCAATGTTCTGAATCGGCCATAACAGATGAACTCGCGAGCTAACTACACACTGTTTGGTTTTCGTGGACACCCAACCTTTAGTGAAATTCTCAGACTAAAAACGTATCGTGTAATGAGGCAGATAATTGATATAAACAAGTAGTATCGTCTCGACCTCTTTTTTATTATTATTATTCAGTACTCGAGCATGTTTTGACAGGCCCAGTAGGAAATTTCTTAAATTATCAATCCTGCTAAAGTATTCATAAGCAGCATTTCGCGATATTGGCCCTAGAAAATAAATTATTTTTATATGAACATTCGCTTACTCAAGATATGATATAAGTGACAGGCCCGTCAAATTAAACCTAGCATTTGCCTTCCGTAACATTTGCCATATAAAATTAAAGGGCGCAAGAGGAGAAATACCTCGGAAAGTTTGGCTGAATCCTAGCGCTAGGCACCACTTCACGGACCTGTGTAAACAAACATTTATTTGTTTGAACATATTCGCTTTGTAAATTTCGGCGACGCCAGCCACCAAAAGTAAATCTATTCGCCATTGACAATCCTGGACTCAAGTAATTTATTATGCAGATTGTTTTTCCAACGTTACATATTGCGGATTTCAGATACTGACAAAAGTTGAAACAGCATACATAAAAAAAAAGCGTCGTCATTATAGCGCATGCGCGGAACCCAAACCGCGTTTTAGATTTGCAAATATAAACGACGTTATTTATTTGTGTACGCTATTCTAAAGCTCGCTACTGTTAGGTTGTGTGTGGCAGTTTCTTACGCGGAAAGTCCCAACCTTTGTGTTAAAATAAACTAAGTGGATCGCACTGGTTATCTGATTATAATCAATAAATCACTTAAATGACTGTCGAAATGGGAGCGAGCCATGGTATACAATTTCTTAAACTTCATAAGTAACCGATCAACCGAATGTGTACGTAGCAAAAAATATTGAGAACCTCATACACATGTAGGTCTGATGTTATGAACAAACAAATCGCCTGATGTTGACGTGCTATTACTTCTAGCCTCAGATAAAATACAAGCTAAACGTTCGTTGTCTATCTCCTCCGCGAGTTTCCTCAAATAATCAGAAGAAACTATTTTCAATATATTATGAATACAAAGAACGATACTTTCAGGAAATACAGATAGTCTCCTTGCACTGACCATGCTTGACGCCTTCCGATCCTAGATGGGCGATATAAATATACGCGCTTCTTACTGAGAATGTTCCGCTGTCATAAGGACCTTTTAACCCTTGTTATGTCTAAAGGCCTGTTCACACATGCAGCGGAGCGCTACAAGCATAGCGCTTACCTCGCGCTAAGCGCGTGCTGACGGGAGCGTTCACCAGCTTTGTATCGCACCGTCAAAACTGTTGCTCATGGCAGACGATAAGTAGCTGACGGCACGTGAGGAGCGCTACATCAGCGCTTCGCTGCATGTGAGAACCGGCCTTTAGTCGTCGAGTAGACGTATCGGACTACAGTTTCCGAAGTAAGGCAAGAAAGCGCGGTGAAACGCGACGAAAAACACGAATGCAACGCATCCGCCAAGGCGCGGAGGGGAGAGCGGAGCAGCAAGTTGAAGCAACCTAATGGCTGCCGCGTCACGTGATTCCAAGATGGCAGCGCCCATGCGGGGGAGGATGAAATGGTCTATAAAGGGCGCGGATTGCGGACCGAGGACCTGTTATGGAATGGTACATAGGGTGGGTCTCTTTTTAGCCGTAGCAAATGAAAAAAAAAAAAAAAAAAATCATTTTTGCAGTTTGCGCAGGTGAGTTATACAACACAGAGCGCATTAGTGTAGCCCTGACGTCTTCTTTTTAAACAAAAAATAATAATCCTTTAAGGCCAAAAGAAAAGAACCCTGTACAATATTACGTCAAGAGATTTAGTGGACTGTTGTCACACAGCGTCATCAGCGTGACGTGGTCGTGTGGCACCGATTCCGTAACCACAACGTCACTTATGTCACAACGTTAAGTGACATTTGAACGTTATATGGCTCTGGTTCACGTGGTGTGACGTCATTTAAGGCGTCACGTGATCACGTAACCCATTTTTGCATCAACCGGGTAATCGTCGTGCTGCCGTGTCATCGTGATTTCGTAACAACTTTTCCCGACGCTCACAAAAAACATCCTGCATTAAGACGGGGACCGTCCACAAAATAGCGTCCTGCCTTAAAACAGACGGGGGTCCGCGAACGGGAAGGATCGGTGATGGCTGTCCGAGACGGGAGCGGCAAGCCTCGGATGCCTCGGGCTCCTCCAAAGATGCCCCCGGCAAGAAAAGCCGATGCTTTCCTCGGTCTTCTTCCGGTCTGTTTGTTGGCTCGCTCCGCCCGATCGTTTTCGCCCTCGGCCCCCTCGGTGGCCGCTGGCTTTTGTCTCGGTTACGCGCGCCGCTGTCAGCCCATTTATTTACCCATTCTTCCCTAGGCTCGCTTCCTTCATATCGTCCAGAAAGAAGGAAACGAAAACAAAGCCTCTCTCTCTCTCTCTCTCTCTCTCTCTCTCTCTCTCTCTCTCTATATATATATATATATATATATATATATATATATATATATATATATATATATATATAATATATATATATATATATATATATATATATATATATATATATATATATATATATAATTTGTGGATTCGGTTTGTCCCGTCTTTCTTTTGTCGGAAACAGAAAGGGACGAAACGCTGCAGTTTCAAATCTTGTCTCTGTTGTCATCTCTTTGCAGCTTTTCCCCTGCGGACTGCGCCGGACTCTGTTCGGGAGAGTGGCATTTTCGCGGAGAGGAACATTTCCTAGTGACGTTGCCGGTTTTTGCTACGCCTAAATGGAATCGCGAGAAGAAGAAAGGATGGCGTAAGAGAAGCGAGCGAGGAGAGGCTCCATTGAGCCTCTTGAATCGAGTGCAACGCCCCGAGCGACGTGATTGAAACGAAACGAACTCGTTTGAGGACTGTCTTTTATTCCCTGTATACGTTGCTTGCCCGAGGGTTCTTTCATTGCCCCTGTTCGCCTTCCTATCATCTTTCTCGATGCCCTTCCACGTGTGGCACTCCTCTGCTCGAGAGTTGTTTTTATGGTGGAGGGAAGCTCGGGTGAGATTCACTTCGCTCTCGACCAATTGAGGCGTTCTTTTAATGCGCGTTGCTGCGGGTGAAACGGAAGCGGTTGTTCCCCCGCGTGACTTGCACTGTAAAAAATCTTTCGTAGAAAAAACGAGAAAATGCTTGGCAGCTCTATTAAGAGGGGATGCTCATTAAAATAACGCACCCCCATATTCAGAAAATATGTGAAAAGGGACGTTAATGCAACAATACCCATTTTTTCAAAATACGAGGATGCTCGTTAAACTTATGTGTACACATCATTTTAATGAGCATCCTTATACTCTGAAAAAATGGGTATTATAACATTAATCTAACGTGCCCCCATATTTTGAAAAAATGTGAAAAAAGTCGTTAATATGACAATACTCATTCTTCCGAAGTATAAGGATGCCCATTAAAATTATGCATGCACATAATTTTAACAAGCAACCTTGCACTTCGGTAAAATGGGTACAGTTGCATTGACGACATCTTTTTTTCACATATTTTCACAATATGGGGCACATTAGCATTTTAATGGGCAACCCCTCTTAATAGAGCTGCCAAGCATTTCATCATTTCTTTTTTACAAAATATTTGTTTCTACATCTCTTTTTAGCTGAGGCACTGAAGTAGCTCATGTTCTGCTGTCCAATATTTTTCACTTACACAAGTTTCTGTGCAACGATATTCTGAAATATAACTTCAGGGTCATTGATGCACCTGGAAACGTGAGCCATATACTATGGGGATTGCAATGCAATAGTAAATTTATGCACTTTGGAGCAGTTCTGCTGCTTTGTCTAAAATGAAGAGAAAATAATTGGCACAGAAACTTTAACTTCAAAATAGGTGAGATAGGGTGCAGCAAAACAGCAACTAGCTAGTGTTTCTCATATGATGCACCTGCAGACACAGCTGTGAGCTGCTAAAATCTGTTGCAAGCCAAGAATAATAGGTAAGTGGAAAGAAGGAAACCACCATTGCACCATGATTGGTTGTTTTCTCCTCCCCACTCCCCTGCTCTCCAGCCTCCGCTCTGCTGATGTTGAAAGAGTGGCGGGCTCTGTGGGAGGGGCTTGCTCTTGCTGTTCTAGAGTTGCAACAGACCAGAGCGACCTGGAGGTTTTCGAAAGTGCAGCTCAAGCTGGCCGGATCATATTAAGGCATCATATCGGCAGCAAATTCTCACAACATAAACACCCTTGAGAAAGGGTTCAGAATTGAGACAGCAGTGAAAATGCAAAATAGTTTGGTCGGTTGTTTGTAAATTATTTTTCTTTAGCTCTTTGTAGCTGTTTTCTTCGAGCTTAATTTAAACAACAAAAAACGAGGGAAATTGTAATAGCTCTTTATTATATCTAAAATTCGTTTATGGGTACTTCTTCCGAGGTGTAGGGCTATCTCAATGCTCCCTGCATATGCAAAAGAAAGATGTATATAGTCATAAGCTGAGCACAAGGCTGTCGAAACAATACAAAACAAGGTGAGCCTGACATGCACACAATACAAATAATCCTGCTCGATCTGCAAAGAGAGACCAGCTCACCTTGATGAAAACAACTGGTCTGAACCATAAAGGAAGGCCAGCACATCTCGGCGCCTAGTCTTTTCCTCCAAGGAGACCTGCGCTTATCACAGAAAATGTAGTTTTAGTTGAAAACCAATTGACATTGCAGGAGAGAGGCATGAAATATGATACAGGTGTCCGTGACAAATAGAACACAGACCACAGCTCACTTCCAGTAAAACACCGTGCCTTGGGCCTCAGGCAAATAATGAAACAATAACTTGTCTACGCTCCATCTTGCGCTTTACGTGCAGAAAACCTGCAATAGACCCTTTCCGAAATTCAGTGCCATCTGGTGGTTTGTAAAGCAGTTTAGGTTTTGCCATATCAATGGCGGAAATGAACTTGTATCGGCACCGTCGCTTTCGCAAGTCAACGGCACGCGAGGAATTGTTCGGTGTGAGTTCTTTCTCGATCACGTTCAGTTCGATGGTGACCAAGAACTTGCATTCAGAATTAAGCTCCAACCCACTCAGATGCCTCGAGAAAATTCCCTACACCAGTGTGCTTTAAAGCCGATTGTATGCCGCCCACAGAGTGACTGAATCTGAGTTATTAGAAATAAACGCTTACGTAGCTCTTGTGTTCCATTCCTATGTCGCGTCGTACTGACCCCCCGAATACAGGCCTCGCAAGATCCGCTTAGGATCATCTTCAACGTCTTCCTTTATCAGTCACTAGAAGACCGCCATTGGTATGGCACAGATGCTGTTCCACAGATGATGATAGTGATCAAAGTAGCCAGACTGAATTTCGGAAAGGGTCTATTGCCAGGGAAAATGCAGATTTAGTTGAAAACCAACTGACATTTCAGAAGAGAAGAAAAATCTAGGGCAGCAAATAATGTCTGTGACAAGTAAGGCGGGTAGGAGACCATAGCTCACCTTCAATAAAACAATGTGCCTGGGCCAGTTAAAAGAAGAACACCTTGTTCGGACCCCAGTCTACGCTTTCATCTGAAGAAACCTGCGCTTAACAGGAAAATGCAGTTTTAGTTGAAAACCAATTGATATTTCAGAAGACGAGCGAGATAAAACCTGATGCGGCTAATAATGTCTGTGATGAATAAAACACAGACCACTTATAATGGGACCATAGCTCACCTTCAGTAAAACTCCATGCCTTGGACGATTAAAAAAACAAAAAAACTTGTCCATGCTCCATCTTGCGCTTTACGTGCAGAAAACCTGCGATTGCCAGGGAAAATGCAGATTTAGTTGAAAACCAACTGACATTTCAGAAGATAAATCTAGTGCAGCGAATAATGTCTGTCACGAATAAGGCACAGACACTTAAAGAAGAACATAGCTCACCTTCAATAAAACAACGTGCCCGGGCCGTTTAAAAAAAAAAAATAACAGCTTGTCCGGACCCCAGCTTACGCTCTCGTCTGAGGAAACCTGCGCTTGTCAGGAAAAATGGAGTTTAAGTTGATATTGCACAAGAGGAGCAAGACAAAACCTGATGCAGTGAATGTCTGACGAATAAAACATGGACCACTTGTAACAGGACCATAGCTCACCTTCAGTAAAACTCCATGCCTTGGACGATTAAAACAACAAAAAACTTGTCCACGCTCCATCTTGCGCTTTACGTGCAGAAAACCTACAATTGCCGGGGAATATTCAGATTTAGTTGAAAACCAATTGACATTTCAGAAGAGAAGAAAAATCTAGTGCAGCGAATAATGTCTGTGATGAATAAGGAACAGACACTTGGAGAAGACCATAGTTTACCTTCAATAAAAACGATGTGCCCGGACCAGTTAAAAAAAGAATGACTTGTCAGGACCCCAGCCTACGCTTTCATCTGAGGAAGCCTGCGCTTATCAGGGAAAATGCAGTTTTAGTTTATAACTAATCGATATTACAGAACAGAGGCATAAAAAAAAAACTAATGTGGCGAATAATGTCTGTGACGAATAAAACAAAGACCACTTTTAAAGAGACCATAGCTCAGCTCCAGTAAAACACTGCTTTCAGTTGAAAAGAGAAGACTTGTCAACGCCCCATCTTGTGCTTCTCTCCGAGGAAACCTGCGCTTGTCTGAGAAAATGCAGTTTTCGTTGATCCCAACACCTCAAGGCCAGGTATTGTGTTCTAGGATCTTTTAGAAATCATCCGCAAATTACAACAAGTCACATATGCTACAGGTGAAAACGAGACTATTTTAAGACTACTAGGGCAACATATGAAACCTGCCCACTGAACCACTCTAAAAATATGGCATATAAAAAGTAATCAGGTTGATGATACATATCAACTATGAAAAACAAATAAAGTCTTCCAATTTTTAAACATTCTACAGCGAGAACCAAAGGGAATCTAACCCATTTTCGCGAGAAGCGGCACTGTAATTTGTGACGTATCGTAAAATACCGGGCAAGCGCCCACTCAATATTTAGACATAATCGCAAAAAAATGGGAGATCGGCGCTTTTCCGGTTATAAATTTTACATTTCAACGTACTGCGCAGACTTTGTCAGATATTACAAATTTGGGAATGGGCACTTAGTGGAGAGTGGGCGGATGCACGGTATTCTACGGTATGTTCAGCTAGGTGGTGGATTTCTTTTATAAAAATTTCGAAGGAGAAACTTGCCCCGGTCAAATGTTACAAATAAATACAATAGGTTTCCTATGGACAGACATGGAATCAAGGCTGTCTCAGGTGGAAGTTTAAAAACGCGGTTGAGGGGCACTAAACCATATACGAGACAAACCGGGTGATGAGAGCGGAGTAATAAGTGTCTTCGTTCCTACCTTCAATGTTTGAGCTAATTCGAACGTCCCATTGGCCCACAACATTTTCAAGCTCCAATCTGAATAAGCTCAAAACCACGTTGGTCCATAACAAATATATTGTTCTTATTTGTAACTCTTTGCTGAGGTAAGTGTTTTCTTTGGTACTATATTAACAAAACAAATCCACAACCTAGCTGAACCTACGTCACAAACCACACTACCGTAGCAAGCGAGACTGATTTTTGGGGGGTGGTCAAGTCGGCTAGCGCACACCAGATCGGAGCATGTGGAGCGAGAGCTCGCACTGCAGAACTTAGGGATCCTGGGTTAAATCCCCACACATGCTCATTTGAACTGGATGAGCATCGTACCCGCATGCGGTCGTGTCTCACTACTGCGTGTGCTTGTTAAAGACCGCAGGCTAGCGGTTCTACTGCACTGGCTAAATCGCTCATCTACAGCGAGTTATTCGTCACAACTTTGAAATGGCTGACTAACTACACGCTGTATAACTATCCACATAACCCAAATTATTTTTACTGATTTTTGCAATGTATATAAATTTGTGGGCTAGATTCCTTTGGCCCTCGCTGTAACAATTAAAACATAGATTAACAAATATTTTTGTAAATTTACAAGGACCTCAAGATTCTAATGGTAGGCGGCGGTATGCGAGCCTTCATTGTACCTAATATGAATAATATATATAAAATCAAGTTATCTAATCTGTCTATCATTTTAATTCCATCTAGCACTATAAATAAAACACTGTCTCTTTAATTTATGCTGCAGGGCTGCCGCATATGTCCTTGCTTTCTCTTTTATATTGTGTACCATTTGTAAGAACTGAAGGCAGTACAGGAACTTTTAGAAACATTTTCGCCTTTAGTCTCGTATCCCCATCGGTCAAATTAGAAAAAGAAAATCGAATTAAAAAAATTCTTTTCGAGCGCAGCTCTTGGGCGCCCCTTTACCGGCTTCAGCGGCGTCGGCGTCGCCGTAACTGCGCGGTGCATTATAGGACCTTTCCCATGATGCAACACGCGGGGAGGAGGACGAGGGGAGGAGGAGGGGAAGAGGAGAAGAGAAGGGAAGAGGGATGAGGAGCAGGAGAGGAGGGACAGGGAGGAGGAGGAGAGGAGGAAGGGTATACCCTCCCCTCTTCCTCCTCAAGAGCTATGCTCTAATTCGGCGTTACGGGGTGTTGTAAACGTCTTTTTCTTTTTTTGATCCGATAAAACAAATTTTTATCTGCAATAGCAAAAATCAAGCATCACAAAATATAAGAGGGAAAGATGAAAATAGAAAACACACCATTAGAGTGAACGAATCTTGTTCAGCAGGCCTAGAATTCTGGCTGGGATTCCATTGACCTTGTTGTGACCACGGGAGCTGGACTTGCTACCTTTAGATGGGTTTATCTGGCCAAAATGCCTGTATAAGAGGTCAAAGAAACGCATGTCAATTGAACATGAACAACTCACATTCTTGGGTGAAAGATGTCGAGATGTCCTTGTGCGTGTTTATACAGCCTGCCTTTGGGCTGACTTTCACATGTCGGTGGCTGGTTCACACTGCGCAGCAAAATATCTCGTGCAGTATGGCTGCTAACCCGAGGCCTTTAGAGCCAACATGCAGTAGTGATACACGAACAGATGCCAGTATAATGCCTATCAAGATTAGAACAGGTGAGGCGCTAGTCCGACTGTGGATTCCTGGACTCTGCAGTGCGAGGTCTAGGTCCACATGTTCAGGGTTGCGGTGCACTAGCATAATCGACCACCAGTCCTGCCATGAACAAACACTGAATTCTGACATATCTGTACCTCTGAAGGAACTCCAGCGTGTACGAGGCCTCCTTTGGGTACTTGATGTTGAAGACGAAATACGCTCCCAGGAGCGAGCAGAGAGCGACCTCGAGACTGCTTGCCTCAAACACAAGCACCCTGTCAACAACCAGCGCAATCTGGAGAGGGTCATCCAGAAGCGTAGAACCTAAATAAAAAAAAAAAAGCAAGATGTGATGATCATCAAACCTACATGTTACAGATGTAGTTAATTTATTGCAATCGTAACGGTTCAAATGGATGACAGAAAGGACATTGCAATGAGGTAAACTAGGAAATATGGATGCTCTGCATTGGAATACAGTACAAGCTCGTTACAACAGATCTTGTTGCAGCAGAAACTTGGATACAACATACTGATTTGTGAAGCTCAGTTGGTTTTCCTATTTGTACCACTGATTCAACTTCCTATCTGAATAATACATAATCCTTTTTTACAACAGAGCGAAATAGTGGTCAAAACCAGGGCTCGGCGATATCAGAGATGCATGTATCTCCAATACTAACTTCAGAGACAGTCGAGTACCTTGTATCTGGTACTGCCTGCCAGGAAAAAATGTACCAATGTATCAGTACCTAATACCCATTTTTACAGTATCGAGTATTTTGGAGATACCCAATAGTTAAGAAATTAGCATTAACTTTTAAAGATCACTTCCAGTTCATTTTCTTTCTGGCAAAACCAGGCTATCCTTCTTTCTATTTTGTGAGCTGTACATGCAAATTGCACAATTTTTTTTTTTTGGAACTGTGGGAACAGGTTGGGTAACACCTTCTGTAAAAGGGCAGACAGACAACACCGGCATCTTTGTTGAACTGACATCTCCTTAGTTGAAGGCCGGTAAGTGGACTAATGCAATGCAGTATATCATCATTAGAGGGTTTTAGTAAGCCGGATTTTCAGTCCTAAAGTGATACCCACTAAAGAAACACGTTTAAGGGCAATGGAAGGGTATCGTCATCGGGATTAACAAAACGGTCTATAAAAATTTCAAGATCTCTGCTAAGCGTGCCTTTGAGCTCGGCAGAGAGCTATCAAGGCAATCGTGGCCAGTAGCATTTGGCCTCTTTCTTTCCTGGTTCCCTGCCCTCCTCATTTCCAGCTCTCCCTATCCCCCGTTTACCCTCGTCACTCCCATCCCCTTGTCTTCCTCCTCTCTCCCTTGTTGGCTGTGCGTTTGTCAAGGTAAAAGGTGACCCTGACCTTAGACCCTTGACCTCTCCTCCTCCCGTGTCCCCCATCCCTTCTAGCTCCCCTCCCTTCTCCCTTTCATTCCCTCGTCTCCTCCTCTTTGCTCCTCCTCTCCCTTCTCCTCTATATCCCTCTTCCTTCCCACTCTGCCATCCACCTCACCCTCCTTCCCCTTTATTCCTTCTTCCCCCTCCTCCTCACTCCCTTGTGTGATTATGTGTTTGTGCAATCGTGGACTTAGACCGATATCTCTCGATTTCCTTTACTCCATCAATTCGCCTCCTAACCCAGAATCGTTAAGAATTTCTTTATAAATAACACAATCGTCAACATAGAGGCCTATGAAAGAGGAGATACGTGCAGGAAGGTTGTTAATATAAATGAAAAATAAGTCGGCCGAGTACGATACCTTGTTGGACTCCGCAGCTAACATGCAAAGCTAACAAAAAACGTTTATGAAAAATATCGATACCAGAACCCATAAAATCCAGGTGAGAAATGTTTATAATCAATGTAAATTAATCAGGTTTCCTGCTTTCCAAATACTTGCGATGGGATTTCAGCTATGTATCGAAGCATCTAGGATACTGCATGGAGTATTTATATCAAAGATGGACTTTGCGTCTGTATCTTGTATCAGTACCTAAATGTAATTTTCCATGGTGTCAAGTATACTATCGAAAGCCCAGCCCTGGTCAATAACAAGGGCCATTATAACGAGCTTAGACTGTAATTGCACTACTCCTTTCACAATTTTCTTAATTATCTAAAAATTAAAAGGCAGTGCAAAGCTATCTCACCAAGGACCGCAAGGTGAGGTGTATCTGGGCAGGAGCCAAGAACACTGGCAGCTGTTGAGTGCTATAATGAATACAAAAATCAAGAATATTTAATGGTGTACTTGTTATTGATAAGAAAACAGATACTTTCATGGTAAAAAATTGGTCAGCAAGGCTGAGAATTCAGAAATTAAATTAATAAACTTTTTGCAGCTAATATTTAAATGCCATGAACAATATTGTGTGTGGTATTATGCACTTCACACAAGGAATTGCAGTCAACAGAGCAGATGATCACTGCCTCACAGAGTTGACCTCTGCAATTGATTGCATACATTTATGAATAACTAAACAAGTTCATGGAATAAGATTACCAAGCTCACCGGGTGAAATGAGATGAGAGCCTCTGGATTCTCGTCGAAGTAGGTAGTCAGGAGCTGAAGAACAAAGGTGTAGCGTGGTGGCGCTTGTCCATTGCAGTCCAAAGTTTTCTGGATTGTCTGGAGGAGGGACCTTGACTGAGGCTTCCATGCTCTCCACATGACATCAAAGAGCTGATTTCCTTTCGACGTCAGCTCAGTGGTGAAGGCAGTGTGGTAGGAAAACCCAAGGAGTGTATCAACATGAACGAAGAAGTGTGGCTCTTTGAAGAGGTGAGGCCAAGACTCCGCAATTTCAAGGAGTGTTTGCTGCATGGAGTTGATGTGCCTCCTCTGCAGTGCGTAGGTTTTCTTCATAGTAGAGGAGATCTCCTCTAAATTGGTGGCTTTGCACAGCTGCTGCCTCATTACCTCTAGATCGTCCCACGTGTATGGCGCACAGTCTGGCTCCCATGCCACGCAACCGTGGGAGTCTGTTTGTCTGCCTTGCTTAGATAATGTCGCTTCTGGTTCGTCATCTTCAGTTCTTCCCGGCCCTCGTTTTGCAGCATTGTGTGGCCGACGCCTGTTATCCATGTATACAGCAAGTTGTCGTGTTAAAGATGACGTACCGTCACCAATAATATTTCCTGTCGACATCACGTCAGCAAAGGAGTGTGGGTATCTTGCCACAACCAGGGAGGCAATCTTGCTTACTTCTTTGATTTTGGGTTTCGGATCATGCACTGCGATTGCTTCTCCCAGGAGTTTGACCATCTTTCGTCTTAGGTAAGGCTCTGGCACCTTCTCCTCTTGGCAGATTCGTACCAGATCTGCAGGCATTGCGCCCCAATCCACTTCAAAAGAACTCGCCCAGCGGTCCTTCGAAGCCCTCTCTTGTGATGCGCGGTGAGCCGTGGCTGCCGCTGGGTTTGTCGGTGTTGAAGCTGCTGACGTTGAGGGAAGTGCACAGTTTTCAGTTTGCAGTTGGGACCCAGATTTTATGAGATGTAAAAGCTTCCTGATATGCAAGGTCTTGAGGAAAGGCTTTAAGTCCTGTTCTTCCAAGTATAGAAGGTCTTTTGCTGTACTGTATCCCTCCTCCACAAGGTGGGTCACCAGTGCGTCAAGTTGGCCATCGGGTATCTCGGGTACCAGTTGTGTTATAGTTGCCCTTACAGAGTCCATCTTTATTTTAGGGGAGAAATACAGTCAATGTGATTAGATTAAATTTCCTTTACTATCAAAAAAAAAAAAAAAAAGTGACAGGAGACACTTAGCTATTTTTATAAAGGCATTCTAAAGCGTTAAGGAGCCTGGCAAAGCATCACTGTGATGAGAACTACAGATATGCAAAACCCTGCATGAATACAGCGATCTGATCATGCAATCTGCATCTGGAGACTTTATACCCACACCTGAACTGTATCTTCGACTTTCTTTTCTGCCGGTCATCCAAAGTGTTCCTTTATATTTCTCCTACATCATAAACACAAGCGTGAATTAAAAAAGATTCCCTCGCAGTCACACTTCATAAGCTGTTTGAATTTCTTTTTATTAAGATATTGCATCCACCAGTTCACTGTGGATACCCACAGATACACAGGGCTCTACAGGTAAGGAGTATATTCCACATCATGTTTCAAGGAAACCACATTCCTTGTTCCACAGGCATAAATGTGCAAAGGAGAAAAATCCAGAAGCTGACTGTAAGCCACACACAGAAAACTACCTCTGCAACAATTTACAATTTTCAGTCCCATGCTTGCCCATGTTGTTATTTTGCATGCCTCTACCGCAAACACAACCTTCCCGTGCTCAACGATACAGCAAACTATTTTGCCAGCCATTGGCTCCCTACACTGTTGGAAAAAAATTACCGACCCCGCCACATACTCTGTCCCTCGATACACCAATGTTTGACTAACTTCAGCAGCTGACAGTTGAATGCCACAGCTCACTACACCATCAGTGAGTTCTTTTGAATACATTCCCTCTACAAAAGACAATGCATGCTCTTGAAGCAATTCATCTGGAAAAAGCTTGCCCGCTCTGCAATATGACTGAAGCATCTCGTGCTTCCTTGCCATAGAGTAAGTAATATTTTTGAAATTTTGAGTGCTGCGTATGATTCGCTTAAAGTAGGAATGCTTGCTCTCAAAGCGAAGCGTTGACAAATGGCACAATGGACCGTATTCGTAGCAGAGGTCGGGGTAGTGCCTCAGATAATGATGTTTTGGTTTTAGAGCTATGCCAGGAAACAGATGTACCCTACGGGACAAATAGTCATCAATGAGAGCACGCAAGTACTCTATTTGAGTCACATGAAGTTGAGGCGATGCCAAGATGGTTACAATGTCTTTTAGGATGAGGTATAGCTGCCACGCCTCATCTTCCACATCTCTGACCTTGTCAAAGAGCAGGACGGGCAAAAATCTGACAAGATAAAATGTCTCTACTGCCTCTCCTCTACAGTTTCCTTCACAGGAAACTTTGCACGGCCGGTTCTTAGAGTCATGCCCCTTAAGCTTCATGTTCGCTATTCTTGAATTGAGTTCCTCAATGCTGAACCACTTCTTCTCAATGGCGAGTCTCCGAAGGATAAGCGATAGGTCATATGGGACTACACCCTCATATAGGTCGTGAGCAATGCACGGGGGCAGGCCAGACGTGGCATGAAAACTCAGGAGTGAGTTTAGGGATGAGTCAAACTTAACCCCAAGACATGAGTCTAGTCCTTCTTCCTTGATGCGCTTTAGACATTTTTCATAGCTCTCAGCCGTACGGCGAGGTCCCATCGATCTAAAATCGGCCATAAAGGCATCTCTTGTCACTTCGCAAAAGCGACAGAAATATTTTGACCTTGAAAACGACTCTACAAAGCCCCCTATCCCGTGGCTTCCGAGGTTGTCACCGAGACATGACAACAAGCCGCAGTTGTATCTGACTCCATTTACTGTAACACCATCTTTTTCAAGATCTGCAAGGTCTGATACAAGAGACTTCATCACAACATCATGTCCCACTTTTTGTAAGGTGGACTCATAGCACAACATTACTAACTGCATCGCATGAACTTTTGTTTGAGCGAATGGTGGCATGTTAGCGATGGTGTAGTACATCCCCAAGATTTTGTGTTTTTTTCTGGCAGATCCTAAAGGGTTAGCAACTTCAAATGCATCCTGAAATAATAGTAGCTGAATGGTGTTCTCACCAGCAATAAAAAAATTGGACTCTCCATAGAGCTTCCCATCAGTGATGTCTTGGAGAAAGCCAGGCTCCAGATCGTTTGTGCGAGAGAGTAGCTTCTGAACAGAAATGTCAGAAAGGAAAGCCTCTAGTGTTTCCTTCACTGGCACATAGTGAAAACTTCTAGCATGCGCACATTTAACCTCCACAGGGTCTATCACGGCAAAATTATTTCTGTAGAACTGGCTCCTCGAATGCATACTACACAAGACCCCACTGTCTGGGCACAGAGGAGATTGCTCAGCTTTCAGTTCTGCCACAACTGCATGGCATACTTCTGTGCTGACATCGAAGCATTCCAGAACTCTACAAATGCCTGAAACTTTGCTGTCTTTAGCTACAGATTCAAGAAAGTACATCTCATTGGCAATACTCTGGACAACTGATGCAGGCACTAGGTGCATTGCTTCCAACTTCATAAAAAACAAGGCCAGATGTGTTGTTTCTAACGATGCCTCACCAGGGCCCTCACAAGATGTGTTTGCCTGTTCAGCACTGTGCGCGAATGAAAGAGACTCACTGTTCTCCATGTCAGTTCTAGGTTGTGCACCATCACTATCATAATCATGTTGACTGTATGACGATGGGGGTTTTGCCTGGTGACTATGACAGCGACTCATGTGCGCCGAGAATGTATTTGAGTTCTGAAACTGCCTTCTGCAGTTTTCCATGAAGCAACTTGTCTTGAGGCCTGAACTGATGTGGCCTTTGATATGTTTGGTCATTTCCAGTCTGCTCCAAACCTTTTGTGAGCAGAATGCGTGAGGGCAAACATATTCTCTCCCGTCGTGATGAGATTTCTGCCCACTGTGACATTTTGACGTGTGCACTCTTAGGGCATTGAATGAGCGGAAAGACCTGCTACACCATTCTTTCAAGCAGGGCAAACTTAGGTTGTGACTTGTTGAATGAAGCCTATAGTGTCTCTCATAGTGATACAAGTTTTTCTGTCGCAGCTTGCACACATGGCAACTGTACATGATGCAGTTTTAATGATGTGAACTTCCGGCCTGAAATGGGAGAGTTTTTGAAATAAGAAATAACATAACCGATGAATACTGCCATAATGCTGTGCTTATGTAACCAACGGCAGAGGTTCATAAAGTATCAAATGTCCAGAAGAGGCAGATTCCTATACTGAAAGTGTGCGTTAAATGTGTTCATTTGACATCCTGGTTTAATTGACCCAGCTTTTCATTAGTCAACAATCCAAAAATAGCAAAATGTTTGTCGAATCTGTGTTACATTTAAATTGTAGAACAGGTGTCCCACTGTACAAGCTATTTTGATGTCTGTGGGCTTGTTTCAATTCCAAAAGTTAACTACAAATGTCTGGGTAAAAAAGAGAAACATTAGATGCCTGCAGTAATTACCACAGAGGAGAGAGTATGTGAATTAGCCATCCGCATGTTATGGTTGCTAGTGATTTGGCTTCAAATTGCGCTGCTCTAGCATGATTCACAAGAAAGTTACAACTCCGCAGAGAGTGAAATACCACCACCGCTGAAGGGCAAAACTTCTTTTTTGCCTATAAAACACATGGTTTGGAGTGTTGCCCAATTTAAAAGAGCAGCACGCTGGCATTTGGCCCTTTGATGTTTGAGCACACTCCTCTGTGGAAGAAGTCAAGTGGTGTATACGTACCTTCAGAGTATGGTGATGGCAATTACGGTGCAGGCCTCGCTTGCGACCACCACTGGACAGAGGGACGCAGAGCCAGGCAGAGCCCTGCTGTAGGTCTGGGTAAAAAAGAGAAACATTAGACGCCTGCAGTAATTACCACAGAGGAGAGAGTATGTGAATTAGCCATCCGCATGTTATGGTTGCTATTGATTTGGCTTCAAATTGCGCTGCTCTAGCATGATTCACAAGAAAGTTACAACTCCGCAGAGAGTGAAATACCACCACCGCTGAAGGGCAAAACTTCTTTTTTGCCTATAAAACACATGGTTTGGAGTGTTGCCCAATTTAAAAGAGCAGCACACTGGCATATGGCCCTTTGATGTTTGAGCACACTCCTCTGTGGAAGTTGTCAGGTGGTGTATACATACCTTCAGACTATGGTGATGGCAATTACGGTGCAGGCCTCGCTTGCGACCACCACTGGACAGAGGGACGCAGAGCCAGGCAGAGCCCTGCTGTAGGTCTGGGTAAAAAAGAGAAACATTAGACGCCTGCAGTAATTACCACAGAGGAGAGAGTATGTGAATTAGCCATCCCCATGTTATGGTTGCTGGTGATTTGGCTTCAAATTGCGCTGCTCTAGCATGATTCACAAGAAAGTTACAACTCCACAGAGAGTGAAATACCACCACCGCAGACCGCTCAAGTGCAAAACTTCTTTTTTGCCTATAAAACACATGGTTTGGAGTGTTGCCCAATTTAAAAGAGCAGCACGTTGGCATTTGGCCCTTTAATGTTTGAGCACACTCCTCTATGGAAGTAGTCAAGTGGTGTATACATACCTTCAGACTATGGTGATGGCAATAACGGTGCAGGCCTCGCTTGCGACCACCACCGGACAGAGGGACATAAAGAGCCCTTCTGTAGGTCTGGGGAAACAGAGAAAAATTAGGCGCGCGAAATAATTTCCAGGGAGGACGGGGCGAAAGCCCTTTCTGTTAAATTACCATCAGCATGTTATGCTGATTTTAATGACTGAGCTCCAACTGTCGGTTCCCGAACATGATTGACAGGGAAGTTATGGCTCAAAAGACAGTGAACACTGACGGCAGGGTTCGTTTAACTTTCTAGCGTAAGCAACAAGTGCTTTAAAGTACTGTATTTTCCGGTCTAAAGACCCTAGGAGCCAATTTTGCCTAAAAAATAAGTTTCGTTTGGATAGTTGGTGCTCAATGCATAGTCCGCAGGGCAAAACGTAGGCTGAAAAGCTAACATCCATAGTCTGTCAGTCCGCACCTCTCGCACAAAAGATATTTGCGGACGAAAGTCTGGATTTTCTTGTGCACCTCTCCTGGGTGAACCGCAGAGCTCTCAGCTTGACCCACATTGACCGCTTGCAGGCATCCAAGCGAGCAGTGTGTCACACGCAAGGCATAGAAAGCCTGAGCAACAGATTGAAAGTGTGACGTTCACTTCTTAATCCCGGCATAAAACATTCGAAAATCTGCAAGCCAATCAGACCAGTCTGGTGCTAACGAAGGATCTAGAAACAAAAATTATTGCATAGTATAACCCAAATCTGTAGATAGTGTGCACAACATAAAAAAAACAACTTTTATACATGCATAGTCTGCAGACTATAGACCAGGAAATATGCACTGTCTGATTCCAAAGAGCTGCACACTTCCGTTTTGCCTTTTGATGTTTGGCCTACTTATACCAACACACTCATTGATAGAGTTAGTCAAGTGGTGTACACATAATTTGAGATGTTGCTGATGTCAGTTATACTACATGACTCACTTTCCGCCACAACATAACACAGGGTCACATAGCCACACAAAACAGTGATATATGTTTGGGTAAAAAAAAAGTTATGAAAAACAAATTAATATTATGTACACGCTTGAATTTGCATGGACCAGGTAACGGAAACCTTTTTGAATTTACCGTCTGCATAAATGTACTCGGTGTGACTGTAAAAGCTGGCACGTTTGGCACGCTGGCAAAATTTGCAGCTGGCATGAACGATATAATTGCGATGAAGATTTATTTTTATAAATTAAATGACCAATTACCCAGATTAACAAATATTTTAAAAGAAACGTTTATTTATGAAAGATCTACATTACACAAAAAAAAAAGGTTGCACCTGTTTTTTTTATTTTTTTTCGTCTTGCTTATTCGTTTGGGCGTCCCCAGAACGAAATGGGAAAAACAACCGTTCGTCCGGTTGTTTTTCCTGATAACATGACATCAAAAGTACTGCTAGCGAAATGGATACGATCGCTGTCGCGGCTGTGACGAACACGGCGGCATAAACATCGAAACCGAAATGTCGCGAGTGAATATACATACGTCAACCGCGCGAGCCTATGCAGAACCACTACGCAGCGAATTTCTTTCAACCGCTCTACGCGCTCCACCTCCTTGGGCACATCAGTTCGTCTCCCGATCTACAAGCGCAACACACAGAGAGATCGCTCGCGATTTACAAGGGGCACAGGAATTCACTCGGCGAGCTATCCAGATTTGCAAAAAGAAGGCACTAACATTGTTCCGAGAAATGCACAATTTTTCAAACGCCTCGATCAAATCATTATTTAACGCGATTATTTTGCTGGACACCAGCCTCTTGTAGGATAGAGGAGGCTTCTTTTTTGCATTCAGTACTACATTACCGAAGCCGACGGCAACGAAAATATGCACGGTAGCCGTTCTTGTTCTGTTTTTAAGATTTCACGGCTTCAGAGTTGACGAATAAGAGAAAAAACATAATACTCTTGGCTCAAAAATGTTTGTATGACCAGTTTCAGGTAAGCACGTTTGAAATTTGAACCTTTAAAGACACGCCAAATGTATTGGATTTTAAATACAAGGGTTATTCAAAAGGACGCACTCACACTCGGTCCTCATGCAGCACCGCAGACATTACCGACGGCAATGCAGAGCGGGGACCAGTAGCACTTTGTAGCGTATACACGTTCTTTGGAGTACAGATTTCAAAAAGCTCCATCCTTCTTTTTATGCCTTTCGATGTTTCTTTGAAGCAATAAAGTAGTGTTCACATACCTTTGGACGTCGCTCCGCCAGGAACGAACGGAGGGAACGGCGCGATACAGCCAAACAGGCCACGCCAAAAACCACGAGGCTTCGATTGCTGTGCGAAAGGGTAAAGTGCTATCGGAAACAATATGAGCGTGAACGCGCTTCCGCAGTGACAAGCGGAGGCGCGTTCACGCTCATATTGTCTCCGATATTACATAGAAAGTTTGCTGGAGTGGTGCATACCTTTGGACGTCGCTTCCCGCAAGGAACGAATGGAGGGAACGGCTTACAAGGCAACGCCAAAAACCACGAGGTTGTGATTGCCGCGCGAACGTAAAGAGAAAGTTTGTTAGTACGTCCTACACGCGGCGGTACTGGCGGTACATGAACAAACGCGACGACGCGCCGGAAAGGGAGAGGGGGGCCTCCGGGCGTCGAGCACGGGTCGGGTTCGCCCTTCTCTGCGCATGCTCGGCGTCCTGGCGCCTGGCATGCTCCCCTGGCTCTCGGCTCGCCGCGCGCGCTTTTCGCCCCGTTCACTCCGAGAAACGATCACAACTCGTCTTTTCAAAATACGAAAGCGCGTCGTATTTTTTGATTGTGAAAATGCACGTATATTTTACGTACATTTTTTACAGTGTGGCCAGTAACGACGTCACGCCGGCTGCTCTGTCTCTCCTTAGAATTAAGACGGGCTACAACCGCGATTCGGTTCTCTAATGTTACATGAGAAAGAGTGCAACTGTGAAGTTGGTGAGAGAGCCTGCTCGGAATAAATAAAAGAACGCGAAAGAAGAGATGCAGAAAGACAACGCTGATTATCGGCTGTGTCGCTATCTGGCTATCAACCTGATACCTTGGTGCCACAGTATATCTTGGCAGAGTCCTTGCCGAGTCTTAGGTTTACGTTGGAAGTGCCCGCTGAAGTCTACGCAAATCATAACAAAAAAAAAAAAAAAAATCTCCTTAATTGTGACTAGCTCCAAACTCGGAGAGAGATATATATTGCCAAGTCATACATGAGAGTTCCAATTAAGTTCTGTTTGCATAGACGTTTGAGTAGTTTTCTAGTTGGGCCAAAAAGTCTAGCTTCGGTGGACTTCGCAAATAAGTTAATAATAGGTTTACGTCTTAAAGATATTTTGAACTCTCAAGATCGGTAGAAAAATTCATGACGCGTTTTTCGGTCGGCGTTAAGGACCTTATATTTGCGTTAGCGCGAAATTGGTAGATTGGTGGTAAATTTTCCCATAATAATCAGACTGGCCCATTTCCTTGTCGGTGTTGTATAGAATGGTTTCTCTTCTCTTTCGTCGATGTATTTCGTTGCGGAAGAAAATGGCAGTCGATAGTCAGCGTTGTGTGGGGCTTTTACTTGTCCTGGTAGCCGTTCTTGCACTTTTTTTTTAAATTTATTCTCGGACGGAGCGCCGCACAACAACTTTACGTCCTTTTCAGGCCTGTTACGTTTGAGACACATTTATAGCAAAGGACATATAGCGCTCGTTCTTTCCTTTTGATCGTTCGGGGGCTGTTGATCAGTAGCGCTGCGAATACGTCGCTGTCCAGAAGATTTCTTAGCAGTTTTTTTTTTTTTTTTGGATCCTCAAGAAAGAAAGCAAGTATGAAACACGCGCTTCCAAAAACGTTCTGCCCGGAGCGTTATCGGGCGAGCGGTCTGTGAGAAAGCCCACTGTCGCCTCGCTGTCAAAACACAGGAGCGTCTCGTACAATCGGCGGGAGGGAATACGCGGTCATCGGTGCGTAACCGCGGGCGATAAATGTAACAAAGGCTCGTTTTATTGCCTCCGAAAGGGTGGCGTTATCATGTGGCTCGTTTGCTCTCGCATATAACTACCACGAACGCCCACGACGAACCCGATGTATAGCAACTAGTTTTGGCGCCGTGAAAAAATTTTTGGGCGTGCATTTTTCGATAAATATGTACCGAATCTCAAAGCCTTAGTTTGTCAAAGGCGAAGGGGGGGGACGAGCGATTTGTTTGCTCTCTGTTCGCGGTGATCCCCGACACGGACGGAGGAAACAAAAATGACCGGAAAACGGAGCAAGTCCTTCTTTGGTGTTTCTTTGTGCCGAATTTCCGGCTCGCCGCCCGGACCAGGCCTCCTCCTGATAGATGGCTGGCCCGGGCACTCCGAGGTCTCCCTCTTGCATCGCTCGTCAGTCATCGGCGGGGAGTGGGAGCCGGGACGACGTCGTGCTGGACGTCCTTCGGGGCCGCCGACGTTCCAGGCGCCGCCGCTTCCGCTGTGCATCGCGGCGGCTACACGACCTCGTCATCTCTCCCTCCCCTTCTTTATTTATCGCCCTCTTCTTTCGGGTTTGTCTCCGTACCCTTCTCGTACGCCCTATACGTTCCTTTGTTGTTACATTTTGGTGCCTGAGAAGAGGCGGTACCACCCGGGTCTATCTCTTTGTTGTCTCGGATATCTCAATTTACTCGCTGATATCAGTCGGTGTCCGAGTGAGCTCATTTCACATTGCCACAAGGATCAACTTAAAGAGGACAAACCGAAAACGACAGGAAACTAGGGGGGGATTGCGCTGGCGAACTAATTAACGGCCGTGGCGTGAGAAAGTTAGGGACCCCATGTTTTAACAGCTGTTGAGTGTGGTTGAGCGAAATCGGACTTCAGGAGGCGCAAATGGACGGGAGTCTTGGACTTGGCTTCAACGGCGAGACATTGCGGTCGTTGAACTGCGCGCGAATATCCTCGGATGTTCCGAGTCGTGTGCATTTTTCGTTTTGAGCTGCGCGTTGATCGTTCGGGAGGACGGAAGAGATGGTGCGTCCGGCATGTTGCTTCCGCGTGCCGTCGGGCCCGCGCCAACGAGAGACGTCCTCGTCTTGGTTTGCGGCCCAGCTCGCTCTGGCACACTCGATGGGGGACCTTGTTCGGGAACCGAAATGACGCGGAGTGGCTCAGAAGTTCCCCTCCCTTCCAGAGGGCAGCAAAACCGGGGGAGGAAGCGTGGAAAGGCCGAAAGGGAGGGGGTCGTGCCAGGAAGGATCCGTACTTGGGTAGTAATTCAATTACACTAACTAAATTACTGTAATTCAGCTACTTTTTCGGGCATTGTAATTAATTACTTTGGACTGAAAGAAATTGTAATTTAATTACTTTCTAGCGTCAGTAATCGCCAGATTTCAGGCAGAATTCCGATATGACCTTTGCGAGACTTCCCGGCGCCGACGGAACCTCTCTGAAAGCCTCAGCGCTCGCACAAGCGGCCTAGCACTCGCTGACGCACTCGCACACACACGCGTAAAAAAATGGAGTCGCGTTGTTTGTTGTTTTGTGGCTGATGCCGAAAGATGAGAGGCGGTCCTTTTGGGAGCCTACCTCAACGGCGCCATGTGGCGCCGTCTGCGTTATGTGGCGCCGTCTGCGTTACAAGCAGTAAACAAT